ATGAAATTAAGTAAATGTACATACATATATGTCAAACGAAATAGGTCTAAGAAAGTTTTATTTTGAAAATATTTTGGAGTACCCTTTTATTACACAACTCTTCAGAAAAAATTAAAAGCGCAATTTTTCAGATTTGTGCAATTTTTTACATATGAGAGGAAAAACCGTCAAATTGTATATGTATGTCACATTCAGTGTTGCCAGACATAGATATCCATTTAGAGCTAGAGTCCTCAGAAAAGGAACTAGAAAGGGTTAAATAAAAATGTTCGATTGGACATTTTATTTATTTTTTATTTTAGAACGAATTTCAAAAATTTTATTTATTTTGTTTCTGCCGCCGTCCTAGAATCATCAATTTACAGCTAAGGTAAACAAACGTATTCCCCTAAAAAACAGATATTTTCGTTTACAGTAATATCTATAATAAACGCCTACAGCTGCTATAACATTTAATTTGTGCTATAAACCAATTACGTGCGCATTAATACGCTTCGTATTGCTCAACGCAGCTTTTACGCCTATTAATATGCAATGATATTTAGCGGTAAAACCGATATAGTGCCAGGCTGGCAATCGCATCACTGGCACATTTCACTAAATGCAATTAAAGCGGCGCGGCATACTACAAATGCCAGCTGTGAAATTTTGCGAAAATTTTATTCGCTGATACGGATATTTGCAGAATTTCAATTTCGGGTTTATCGTCATCAGCGTTAACCATTATTTGCGTTTGATTACATTACCGAAACCAAATATGTTTGTGGCTCACTTAGCGGCGGCTTAGTATTGAGTTTAATTATTTTATTTACTCAGTTATGTAATTGCATGTTTTTGCATGCTCAGTAGATTACCAATTTTGCGGCGGTGCTGAGTAATTAGACTAATTATGGGCTAATTCGATACCTAGGCGATTTTAAATATTTGTTTTTTTTTTTACTTTGATTTTAATTGGCTTCTAGGTTTTTATCGTGAGTAATTATTTAAAAATACTTGTATTTTGCTCCCATATGAATATTTTGTTTGAATTTTACAATCACGTACAAAATTATACTTATCCTGCTTGTTATATTCGCCTGGAAAGCCCAAATGGTGTCATCTTCCTTCTCTATTTCTGCCATCATTGGCCTATTAAAGTGCACACCACGAATTCAAATCCAATTACTTCGATTCAGCATTTCAATATACATGCTTACATACATAATTATGTACATACTTATATAAGTTTGTTTGTATTTAAATGTTAACTTTAACCCGTACTTCTTGGACATTTAATCGCTGCATTCACGTAGAATTCTCAATCGAGGCCAATACCCAATTTATTTAATTACGAACAAATTGATTCCCTTGCGAATCGTCGCTGTGATTTGATTGCCATTTCCGCCACAGGCATTCATACCTCCTGCAGTTAATTCGATGATTTTCGCTAGTCAAACGTGCCCACGAAGGTCTTACATACAATCTGTACTAAATATGTCACCGACGCACAACTGTGTGGTGCCTATGTGCTATTCCTACAAAAGCATTCCGTATGCCTCTCTATCCCAGAGAGCAGAAATCAATTTTAATGCAACTACGTGTGAACGGGAGTTGGTAGTTTGCTGACATCATCATTGCAGGCACTGTAGGAAAGTTTACAGACCAGGTGCAAGTTTAATGTGAAAGAGAGTGTCGGAGGTCATTTTGAGAACAAGAACCAGTGAAATGCTGTGGGCTGCTCTCCATCATGAGCTAAGTGGAAATGGAGATTAGGCGGCATAAAATGTACTCTACCTGTGGAAAGTCATAGGAATGCTAGAATTCTAGATGCCAAGGCAGTCAAAGCATAAAAGGTGAAAAGCGGATATGTCGCTTTATCCTATTTTGGCGCCTTTAACCATTAAAATTTGAAAGAACTGGAGGCTACTGGTTAGCGATATCAATGTTCATTTCTAGCGCGTTGTTCTGGAAAAGAAGTTAATAAAAAAAAGTCCACCAATTCTCTCGACGCGATGGCGATATCCAAATCTCTATGATCGCTTCGGCAGCATGCAGTCAATTTCTACTGGGTTACGGAAAATGAGAACGCGGGCGAGTATGCGGTTAAAAGATCTGAGACAGGATTAGGGAAAGAGGCTCTCTTGAGGTACCTGCTCTCACGAGGTGAGGTGATGACGAAAGCAGATAAATACTAACAGCAAGTGCACAGTAACGCACTCACTTCGACTACTTATCGATGAACGATGAACTTGGAGTTTTCTGAAGCTCTCAAACCTAAATGCTGAGTTTCTCATCAGATGTGCAATACATTGTTTTCTAATAATAAAAAAACAAATATAAGCGTGATATTTGGTAGTTGGACATGTCACCGCCAAGTTCGGAGCTGTAGAAATTAGGCAGAAGCAAAATTATATTTTTTTAATAACTTTCGAAGGACTGATTAAAAGATCTGCTAATTTTTTTTTAATTAAATTGAAATATATATATATATATATATATATTAGGGCTGTGCGATTAATTGAT